TACTGCGGGCTCCCCTTCCATGATAGGAAAACCTGCTAACAACCTGCATTTTTAGGCAAGGTGGCATCTATACTAATAAAAAGGTAATATGCTAATCAGACTGAACATCTTCCAGATGACCTTCTGGACGTCCTTCTGGACAAAGCCATGGTGGCAGGGCTGAGGCAGAGGCGGTTAAAGGTGATCAGGCAGGCAGGGGAGAGCAGTTAGGAGGATCAGGCAGGCAGGGGAGAGCAGTTAGGGGGATCAGGCCAGCAGGTAGGTGAGCCGTTAGGAGCCAGCAGCCCTGAGGGGTACCGGATTGGAGATGGTGCAGGCCAGGCTGAGGGACCCCCACTCCCGTGCAAGAATTTCATGCACCAGGCCTCTAGTCCTATATAATAAAACCCTAATATGCAAATTGACCAGACGGTGGAATAACAAGTCACTATAACACGCACTGACCACCAGGAGGCAGACACTCAATGCAGGAACTGCCCCCTGGTGGTCAGTGTGCTCCCACAGAGGGAGTGTCACTCTGCCAGAAGCCGTGCTCACAGCTGGTGAGTACAGCAGCAGTGGTGGGAGCCCCTCCTGCCTCTGCAGCTGCGCTAAGGACCCCTCGGGGGATGCCCAGGGAGCAGGCCTAAGCCGGCAGTCGGACATCACCTGAGGAGGTTCCGGACTGCGAGAGGGTGCAGGCCAGGCTGAGGGGACTGCCCCTTGCAGTGTACAAATGTTGTGCACCAGGCCTCTAGTTGTCCTGTAAATGTGGGAAGCCTTGGGGACTTGATCTTTCAATTACATATGATCTGCAGCACTTGTTTTCAACACCCCAGAGAAATGTCCCGAACACCAGGAGAATCAGGGCTTTTATCTTATTTAATTAGTGTGGTTTCAATTTCACGTTATCTATCCTTGCTCAGCCTGGAGTATTACAAGTTCATTGCTTCTGCTCGGCTATACTGAAAGTTTAAACTCAAAGTCATTTTCTGCTTTATTGACTTGCAGGAGACCGCGGAAATTATCCTGGTCAATGAGGAGAGTACTTACAATTTTTTTGCCTTCTATTAACACTGTAGACAGATTAGTTTCAACATTCCGCAGTATCACATTTCCTTTCTGCTCTCTGTAGATGAATTCTTTATCTGCAAGAGAGGAAATTAAAAAAGAAGCGTGAGACACGAAGGAGCTCACCCAGCCCTTGATGGACCCTGTGTGCAATGAATGGACTGCGTCTGAACAAATGTATCCTGCATTTCACCAAAGGGGCCTTTGGTTCCTCTTAACATAACCTCCTGTGAAGCCGGTCACTGAATTTTATCTCCTACTCTACACACTGACATTCAAAACACAATGTACACTCACAACATTTTTGGAATATTCTAGAACTTTTTTGGAGAGGACACACAAAGTGAGCACAGACAGCATATTAAGGAACCTGCTACCATAAGGGATGAAAGTTAATTGGCACTAAACAGACCAATTTCTTACATCTGAAATTTTGGGGTAAAATCTGTATGTGTGCACACGCAAATACCTCCATCCATTTCCTGAAACATTGTTTTCATTTTGCTCTTCCTTCAGGAATTGGCTGTTCCTCAGAGGTCTTTGACCATCTACACTGTATCCTGAGTGACACTGACACTTTGTATAATCAATCACCCACTTAGAAAACTAATAAAATGGGGTACACTGAGCAGTATGCACATAGAGGCATACTTGTAGGCATGCTGGTGTGTGCGCCTGTGTGTATGTATACTGTGAATGAAAGGGAACTTTGACAGGTTTTTGGTGAGAGGTAGCACATAAAATGGGAAAAAGAAAAAAATTACTATCTTTCTGGGGGAAGGTGGTAACTTTGAGCCATTGTGATGGTAAAGGCATTTCACACAACAATGAAAACTGTGCAGACTGGATGGATTCCAATGGTAATATCTGTTCTATTCTCTCTTGATTCTACTTTACAGAATTACATTCTTTTCCTTTTTATTCCTTTCTTCTACTTGCCCTGGCTTTCATTTTCTCTCTTTTTCTAGTTTGTTGAGATGGAAGCTTAGCTCTTTGGTTTCATCTTCCATCTTTTCTAATAAAACTATTAAAGCAAAAATTTCCTCTGTGGATGGTGTTAGCCAGGTCACAAATTTTAATGTGCTCAATGGCATTGCTATGTGGTTTAAATTACTCCTAATTTTCCCTGGAATGTCTGCTTGGCCCAATGGTTATTTAGAAACATGTTGTTTAATTTCCAAGTATGTAAAGTTACTCTGGCGTGTGGAGAGGCATAGGACAGGAGTTGCCTGAAGGCACCTGCCCCTTCCTTAACTTTTCCAAACAATTCTGAGCCCCTGGGTGTTTACTTAGACACGTCCTTGCTTAAAGGACACTGCAGATGCATGTGTCTTCACAAGGATGCATACCCTGCTGATAGTATCTAATAGTTAATTTCAGTTCAAGCTGTTGTTACAATAAAAGCCTAAGGAGGTGGGTGAATGGGGCTGTTTGGTCCCTGTAGCCAAGCAGTCCCTTAGGCCTCTCTCACACAGAAACGTGTGTCAGAGTAATCCATTCATCCATCGTTCAGGGTCTGCCGGTCAGTCCCGGCAAGTGGTGCCCCCGTGTGAGGACCAAGGAACACAATGAAACATGGCAGAACCCTCAAAAACGAAAAGTAAGAAAACGAAAGTAACTGCGCAGTAAGTCATTGGAGCTGCTTGGGCTTTCCAAGTTCGAGGAAATTGTTTGTCAGCTAAGGAATTCACTATCTCTGTTATGCTTCTTAAGAATGTATGTTTCCCATTAGAAAAATAAGCCTGTTTCTGAAAGTAAGGAAACAACGGTTTTTCCTGTATTTACCTAGGAAGCAAAGATTTTATATATATATTATTAAAATGATTATGTTATGTTAATCAGGAAGTTGATTACTTTAAATGAATAGATGACTTAATACTGTTTAATAATAATAATACATAATCTTTTAGTTTAATGTATTTGACTAC